AGCCAATGAAAAAAATGTTTTGAGATACTAATAATCTAAAAAAATATCACCAGGTCATGTTTCACCAGTTATTTTGAAATACACAAACCTACTGTTGAATAGCAGTGTTCCACAGTTAATTCTCTTGTCTCTTTTGACAAGATGGCAATCTACGTAGGAATCGTTTTTCAAACTAAGGCACTGTCTTTGGAAATTGAAGAAGAAGAAAAAAATTAGTTGAAGCTCACCAGAAAGCTCTAGGCTGCTTTCTTTTTTCATTATAAGTCAGCCAAGGCTCAGGAGAGTTAGCCTCCGTGCTCAACACTTAGAAGTTGAAAATGAGATCAAATGAATTAGGGGACAACCGCATCTCGTCTTAATGTTCTCCTCCTCGCGCGAAGAAAATGAGATGATGTGAGCCATGACTCCATTGGAAAATGAAACTTTGTATTTCTATTTGCTTCTACATTAAAGCACCCTTTTTTTTCCTTCCTTTTAGACTCCTCGTGTTGGTGAATGTTTCAATATTTTACATTTATTAGGCTCGGGCTCATTACAATTGTGCAAGTAAGACAGGCACAGATACCGAGTCCCTTTGAAGCACAATTTCTAAATTACACAGTAAACAAATGAGGTTAGGCTAGAACCTAGCTCACAACCCTTCCACTAATGTGGTGAAAAATAATAAAACGCAGGTCAAGGTTTCTTGCTCTTAAGAGGTAAGTTTATAAATAGTCCACTGCGTTTTTACTGGTTCAAGTAGACAGCTTATCCAGAAGTCTACTAGATACCCTATACTTACTTGTCTCACAACATACCAAAATGTTCAAAATTAAGCCCATCATAGGACTTTTTTGCCGATCTTTTGCAAATAGTCATGCATAAGAAACTTGATTTTGCTCTGAAACATACGTTGATTTCTGATTAGCTGATTATAGAAGTCAGAAGAAATACCCAAATGAAGTGATGACTCACTCAGAGACGACAGTGAGCGAGTGTCTTTAAATTTATAATTGCCCTTGGATCTACTTAATTTAGCTTAAAGTCACGAGGCATAATTGAGACAAATGGCTGTGCAGAGCAGGTACCAGACAGGACAAGAGGCTGCCTGGGATCATTTTTGTTACACTGTTTCCACCCAACACTTTTCAGTGTTTTTCAGCCAACACTTTTCCTATAATGGCCATAAAATTTTATAGGCTCTTTCCCACCATTAGCTGTGGGCATTTACATGTTAAAGGCTTGCCACAAATGAAAAGTATGAGTCCATTGTTTCACGGGGTGAAAACCACGATTACGGCTATTCTGAAGGGAGAACACATCTAAAAAGCAACGTTTCATTTCTCCTCCTTGTGAGGCACCTATGCAAGCGCTGTGGGAAAGCCTGTCTACTTCACAGCTCTTCTATTTTTGAAGCAAGATAGATTCTCGCACAAGGAAACTGAAGATCTTACAATCAGCCAAGCAGAAGACACCTCGAATGTTATTTTTGTCTAGGGGACTTGTTTACAATTAAATATAATTCTCCCTCAAGTGCGTCTGACTAAGAAGCTATCCTTTCACGGGGCTTCAAGCAAACGGCTCACCGGCTACTTATGGCGATGTGTTTGTTTGTCTGTTTTTTAATGAAAAAGAATGGGACAACACTCTCCAGGACTCGTGTCTGAAGCCATCCTCAATCACAGAAACAGCGGGATGGCAGACATTTAGGATTTCTCAGCCAATTTTCTCCTCCAAGAAAAGTCAGCAACTTACTCTAAACATGTCAGAGTTTATTGTTGCAGATTATTATTCTGGGTTATTATCAGAAATATTCAGGGTCATTTGGGTCTAGTAAAATAAGGTGTGGAAAAACTGTGTTAATGGTTCGGTAAAACTATTAAAATATACAGCTCCTTGATCATTCTAGAATGTTTTGTCTTGGTTTCCCACTTATCTGTTCATCGTTTCTCTGCCACCAATAGCTTGCAGAAGCACTGTCACCCTCGCCATCTTCAGAGTAGCAAACAAGCTGCAGGATCTTCACATCCTGTAGACCAAATGTCTTCCCAAGGACTCAGCTGCTCCAAGGATGCTTCTGAACTGACGGGCTTTCTGTAGTTATGAAACCAGGGTTCCAGCTTCTGAAGTTCATTCCTTTTCTGCTTTAGCTGTCCGATGTTGGTCTTCTGCATGTTTATGTGATTTTGATTTTTATTTTGTGGTGCTCTAGATGGAACCTAAGCCATCACACTTTGGTGTGGGAAGTCCATCTGTATATGTGTTGCTTTTATTGGTTAATAAAGAAGCTACTTTCGACCAATGGCTTAGCAGAATATAGCCAGGCTGGAAGAGCTATAGAGAGAGAAAGTAGGCAGAGTCAGTAAGAAGCCATGTAGCCCTGCTGGAGACAGACGCCAGATCTGATTGAACTTTGCCCAGTAAGCCACAGCCATGTGGTGATAGATAGATTAATGGGGATGGGTTAGTTTAGGATGTTAGAGCTAGCTAAAAATATGCTTAGGCTATTGGCCAAACAGTATTGCAAATAATATAGTTTCTGTGTGTTTATTGTGGGACTGGGTGGGGCAGAAACCTCCACCAACAACACTTGGTAAGCACATGCTCTACCAATAAGCTAAAAGACATACTCTGAGGCTCTGAATTTTTATTTTAGTTGAACCTTTCACTGATACGTATTTGAACTATTTCTTAAAATTCTCTTCTATATATTGACACCTAAGTTATCTGACCAATAGTAGGTCCTATATAAGAATCTGAATTGATTTTAAATTATATGTTATGTGCTATTAACAGGACGTTCTTGTAAATTGCTCAAGGCTCCAAGTAGGTTTCTTACTGTATGGTTTGGATGATAATGATCCCCATAGGTTCGTATGTTTGAATACTTGGTGCCCAGTTGGTGGAACTCTTTGGGAGGGAGTGTGTGACCTTGTTGGAGGAGGCCTGTCATGGGGACAAGCTTTGAAGCTTCTAAAGTCCCCTGTCATTCCTAGTGCTCTCTATGCCTCCTGCTTGTGGTTTAAGTTGTGAGCTCTCAGCTGTTCAACTCAACTAAACACCTTACAGTATAAGATGGCTTAACGTGGTATCTTATCCCAGCATAGAAAAATAACTAATACAGAAATTAGTACCAGGAGTGGGGTATGAGAAAGAGGCAAAGAGAAATACCAAATGTACAGTCTGGAGATGAAGAGAACACTGGTGAGCTTGCTGCCACAGCGAAGGCTTGTTAAAGGTTGAGAGATTGGTTCTGTTAATGAGATTCAAATCTGTATTGGAATAAAGGAAAAGGTACCCTCATGACACTCGACCCCGATAAGCTTCCAAATTGTAAAGACTATGGCTTAAGGAATTCTCTGCTTCTAGAAAGGAGCAACAAACAAAAGCTCCTGCCAATGTGATTCAAAGAGGCCAGGCTCCATCCCAGCTGTCTCATCCCTGCAGTGCTGGATTTAAAGTCATGACAGATAAGTAAGTAACTAGATTGTGAAATCCTTCTCCAAGGTTACAGAGGGTCACTGAAGCCAGGAAATGTGTGTGGCAGGTATCTCCCTTCATGGAGGCCTTTCATTGCATGAAGTTGTGAAAGTTGTATCTGGATGGAGCTGGAGACCCCAAGATATTGGAGATGCCAGAACTGTGAGGCATTTGTCAAGGGGAACTGCCCAAAAGGAGTGGAACCATCCTAAGAGAGAAGTAGGCTGCAGGCAACAAAGCTGGAAGGCAGAGCCCATATCCCTAAGACATTAGAAATGGAGCTACATACAGGACATGGAGTGTGCTCTGCTGGGTGTTGATCTTGCTGGACCAGTATTGTTCCACTGTTCCCAGCCCCAAATCTTCCCTTTTGGAATGGTAATGTATATTCTGTGGCATTGTATGTTGGAAATTTGTAATTTCTTTGGTTTTACAGGGGGTGGCAAATAAGAGACCACCTTGAGTCTCAGAAGAGATTTTTTTGATTTTTGGACTTCTGAACTGTGTTGAGACTAAAAGGCTATGAGAACTTCTAAAGTTGGGTTAAATGAATTATAATATGACCATGAGATTATGGGAGCCACGGAGAGGAATGGGGTTTATATGGGAAATGGCCCCATAGGTTCATCTGTTTGAATACTTGGTCTCTAGTTGATGGAACTGTTTGGGAAGGATTAAGAACTCTTTTTTTTTTGTAGGAGAAGGTGTGTCGCTGGGGAGCAGGCGCTGAGGTTTCAAAAGGCTCATGCCACTCTCTGCCTCTTGCGTGTGGTTTGGGATGTGAGCTCTCAACTCTTTCTGCCAACATTCCTTTGTTTCACCCTCATTTAACCATCTGGACAGTTAGCCCCAATTGCACATTTTTCTTTTATATGTTGCCTTGGCCATGGTGTTTTATCACCATAAAAGAAAAGTAACCAAGACACTGACTTAAAAGTCATTTTCCATCTCTTTCTTCTATACCACTTCTTGTTCTCATCCTCTTCCTACTCCATCTAATTCCTGTATTCCCTCCCAAGAGAAGCAGGATCGGGGGGGATTGTAAGGTGAGGAAACTCATTCAAAGAATAAATTAATTCAGTGGTTTTCCGTTTGCTCACTCAGACACTTGTTCTATCTTTTATAGCAAGGATCACTAGAATTTTGTGTGGCAAATCACTAGTGTTTACCAAGAATTACCCAGACATTGAAAAAAATCAACCATAGGATATTAAACAGATAAGACCCATTTTAGAGCTGCAAAGTGAAATAATAGATGTTCTGATGGGGGCAGATTTATGTTTATTGATAAGCATTGGTTTTTCAAACATTAATGTTCATTCTGTGCCAACACACAAACATAGATGTACGTTACAGTGGACTTGTCAGAAGTCCAAAATGAAAGTGCAGTGGATTGTGACTGCTACACACCTCCTTGTGCCCAGCTGGAGCAAGTCCCTTTGATTCTCTATAACTTGGCTTACAGATCTTTGGATTCAGAGATGGTACTTACACCCCTGTGGTATTTGGTAGTTTCAGTCTAAAGAAATGAGTCAAATGCCTGAAACGATAATTCCCTTTATTCCAACAATACACATTCAACAGTCCCAAGATGTTTTACCCTTGTGTTTAAGCTTTCCAAATAGTCTCGACGTGTTTCCATCAGGTAACACGTCAGGAAGCTTGCCGCAAATCAGTTTCAACAAGGTCTGTGCAACCTTATACATCTTGTTCCTACAAAGCTCTCTTTTCTTGCATGGGATGAATACTCAGTCCAAAATCTTTCCAAAAACTGTGTTTCATAACAACACTGGAGTCGAATACTAAATCTTTTGTGCCTGTGATGAGTGAGAAGCTTGGACCAACTCTAGTTTGTCTCAAATAACATTGCTACTATTGAAAAGAGACACTAAGTCCCCAACTATTTTCATTTTACTTAATGAACATAGAGGGAAAAGTCTCAGGGTCAAGGAAAAAAAGGCCAACAACTAGAACTGTGAGAAATGTCTGTTGCAAATTTTAAAAGACACAGTTTGGTTACATTGCAGTTTGCCTGCTAATCAGAAATGTCAAATCTATTTGAGACATGCAACTACATCACAGTCTTTCAAATGATGGATGGTTATCTGCATGGGTTCCTTAGAGTATGCTTGTATATTAACAACGTAAATTACTCAGAGGCATAGACATACAGAATTGCATGCTGACTAGTTAGCCATGACACAGAAAGTTATTGATGTCGGATAACACTGATTGAGTTGTGGCTAAGCCCCCAAAAGCTCATGCTGACAACAGCGCTGGTCCTGGGCATCAAATCCCCAGATACTGGTTCATTTTATTCAGGGCGTCGCACACCGTGTTCAAATCACTGCGTAGGTCCTGCACCACATTTTCAATACTTCTGGTGTCCTTCAGAATTTCAATGCTCTGTGTGTAGGGGTTGAAGTATACTGAGAAGGGACGGGCAATTGACTTTGCAAAGTCCCTGTAGAATAAACGAAAACAGAAGGAGACACAATCAGCCACCGTGGGGAAAAGAAGCAGAAAGGAAGAACCGCCAGAGAAATTTCAAAGTTATTTTCTGTGGAAGAAAGAAAAGCAAGTTTACCTCATCTTTTCTTTGGCTTCCTCAAAACTTTCCGAAACAAAATAAGCATCCTGGAAGGTGGTTATCAGGCATTCCTGCAAGCAGGTTGTCTTTGGGTCAAAAGCTTTTATGCACGCCTTGTCGGAAAGAGCATGCTGCAAAAACATACCAAAGAATTCATCAAGTCCACAATGAGGCTTCCAAAATGCTATGGCATCACACTTACTAGCCAGTAATCCGCAGACCTGCTCAGTTCCTAGTCTACCATGGAGCAAAGAACCCTCTCTGTGCAGGGTAAATCGGTTGTTAGGAAAGGGTTTTATTTTTGCTTTTTTAGGTCTCCTGGAAGTTGCAGAAGAAAATGAGCTCACGTTATTATTTCAGATAATATCAGGCAAATTCATGCTGAAGGACTGTTCAGAGCTGTCCCCTGACACAAATGGAATTTTAAATCTACACCATGAATAGAAGCAGGTACGGCAAAAAAAAAAAAAAAAATATGCTCCTAAATTTGCTGCTATAAGCAATATACTAAAATTTCACTTAAATGGCAGAAGTAATAATTACCTGCATGGAGAGGTAATTGAGACTCTCACCTAACTATTTGTGGACTCGTTGGGAGACGTTTTGAGGCCAGGCACTGTGTGTCAACAGAGACTGGAGTGGGCTCAAACATTGGAGGCTGCTTGCAAAGTAATCATTTACCTTCCATCAAGTACAGCAGAGTAATATACAGCAAATAAATATTGCCAGTTGGGGGGCAAAGAACCAATATTAATAGTTATGCTTAAGCCCGTAGCAGGCATTCGAAAAACAGGAAAGCCAGTATAATTATTTGTTGAACCACCATTGGCCCCGTTCAGCTCACCACATGCGTGGCACGAAGAACAGCGAGGAATCCTGAATGGTTGGGTCTTCAAGATAAATTCAGTGATGTTAAAGGTTAGCAGTCACTTCTTGCCACACCCCTCCTGCCTACCTCTAGATTCTTAATGGATGCTTCTGAAACAATGTGCAGAAGAACCATTGAGAAGCACATGGAACCACAGACACCCAAGCCTTCACTCTATCCATTAAGTCTAGACGAAACCCAGAAAGGAGTATTTGAAAGGCGTCCAAGGCACTCTGACAAAAGAGTTTGTGAACTGTACTCCTGTAGGTTTGATTCTTCACCTAAGAGGTAGTTTGATCAGTAGAAAGAGAGAAGGGGGTGGCAAACATTGCCTTGAACCAAGTCTTACAAAATGGAGGCTCTAGTCACAAGTTGATGTGTGTATGTGTAACCTTGGTAGATCACATGACCTGAAGGTTCTCTACATTCCATGATTCATACATGAACCTGCATTCCCTCGAGGGAGACATTTAGACTGGATGGTTTTAAAGATTCAATGTAAGGCATCTCCTTGATCCCACCCAAAGCATTTCTCTGCCTCTTTGTCTTCTCAACCAAATAGTAAGAATTTCTAGAAAACTTACAAACCAATGGCCTCCCCCGCACCCGCCCCCATCAACATTCCTGGTGCGTTCCCTCCAACAATTTCAGAATGCACACAATTATTTACAGCCCTTGGTGAGGAAGACTATGGTTTTTCATGTTTGGAAATACAATTGAGAAGCAATACTGACATGAACAGAAGGGGGTAAGGAGGCTCATGACTTGTTTTTCCACAAAATTCTGCTGTCCAGATCAATGCATATACCAATTATGGGATGCAGAGGACCTTCAGAGCGAACTTTCCTTTTCCGGCTGCAGAACAGCCTCACTCTGAGGCAGAAGGTCATCACACCTACAAATGCACTTCTGCGGGCCTCAGCACAGCACACTGACCATCTGGGAAGTCTGGTTCCACAAGGCCAATAAATCCTGTCCACATTTCCCAAACTTTGCAGTTTTACAAAACAAAAATGTCTTTTCATGAGAGCTATTGCACCTTTGCAAAGAACTGGCTTCCTGGTGTCTGGCTGTGGCTTTCAGAATTAGAAGTTGCTTTCTTTGCAGCCACACACTATGATTACATTTAACTGACACACGTTGCTTAAATTGTCCATTCATCCATGGGTCCTCACTGAAGGAAGGACACCGACTGGCTCAGTGTCCGCAGTCTTCCTACTCTCTTCCCTACTCTGGGAGGCAGAGGCAGACCAGTAACAACAACAAGCTATAAGAACAATTAAGCCATGGGTCCTTGGGACATCTCTGCTGAGCCGAACACTTTTCACAGAGTTGAAGATGAGCACAAAAGGAAATGAAACTCAGGGACACTATCAGTCTCCGATCCCTCTAGAAGACCTTAGCAACCAGTGTGTGTGCAGGGCACCTGCACAATGTATGCATTCAACAGCCATGACTGAAACAGTGAAGGTTCTGAAACATTCATCACGGGGCTATTGCCCTGACTCTCCCAATGTTCACGATCATATAGTAGGAAAAGAGGGTTGGAGTAGATCAAGAAAATTCTCAAAGGACAGGATGCCCTCCCTTAGATTTCAAGGGGGAAACACTCAATGAATACACAGCTTATAGTTTAAGGTAAATTTATATACCTTATAAATAATATAATAAATAAATATATATTACTGCTAGGTAATATATATAGCACTTAGCCAATATAATATGTGGAAATTGGGAGTTGACTGGACTTTGTTGTTGTTTGGTTGGTTGATCAGTTGGTTAGTTGATTATTTGGGTAGCTGGATTGTTAGCTGGTTGGTTAGGTGGTTGGTTGGTTGGTTGGTTATTTGGGTGGTTGGTTAGGTGGTTGGTTGTTTGGTTGGTTATTTGCGTGGTTGGCTAGTTGGATAGTTTGTTAGTTGTTTGTTTGTTTGTTTTTTAAAGGATAGGTTTCTTTGTGCAGCCCAGGCTGTCCAGCACAATCTTCCTGTATCAGCTTCCCAAGTGTGGGTATTATAGGAAAGTACCTTACAGACCCAGCAGGAAGTAAACTGTTTTTAAGTACTCACAATTTTTATTTATTCTCAGGAACTGTATATGATAATTTATAGAGATATTGATATTAATATTCTGGTTCACAAGGGCCTCTCTATCCATAAAGCATGAAGCCAGGGCTGGCTACCTCTTGTCTGTTAATAAATGTGAGGACAATATGAATAGTCATGGCTTAGCCTGAGTTGAGGAAGCAGTCAGTAAATGAGATACCGAAGCATCTACCTAGTGGCATCTACCTAACAACCAGTTCATCTTTTTGGTAACTAGCAGGAACATCCACGCTGCCCGTAAGGGCTCCATCTCTGAACTCTTCCATGCATTCCAGGAGATGTAAAATAACATGCAGGACGGCTTTGACACAAAAGGCCACTGACCAATTAGGCTTCTTGAGTCTATCTCTGTTCTTGTAAGCCATCTCACTTTGGAGAAGCAGCTACTATGCCCTCTCCTGTATGTTGAGGAAGAGGTCTCTGCAAACACTACTCAAGGTTTTTTTGATGTTCCGGAGAGACTCTGTGGCGAATTCTCTTTGAAGTGTCAACCATTTTAAGCCCTACAGTTGTCAAGAATTAATTTGATTTTCCATAGAGAGGAACTTTTTAATGCTGACCAAATCTGGCTGATGGTCTTTTACCCCAAACCATTGCAAATGTGTAAGAATATTTCAAAGTCATCTGCTCCTACCTGAACACTCTATAACAATGGTTCTTAACCCTCCTAATGCTGTGATCCTTTAATACTCATGTTGTGGTGACCCCCAATCACGAAATCATTTTTATTGCTACTTCATAACTGTAATTTTGCTATTGTGAATCATAATGTAACTATCTGATATGCAGGATATTTGATATGTGACCTCTATGAATGGGTCAATCAACCACAAAAGGGGTCATGACTCACAGGTTGAAAACCACGGATCACGAAGAACCATTTTTTGGCTTTTCCCACTGTGCTAAAGACAAGGCTATACAACTGGAATCAGAACTCCTGGCTTCTCAATACAGCTGTCTCAAAGTCGAGACATATCGAGCCTGGATAGGCACAGAATTAAATATGAAAAAAACTAGGAAAATTGCAGCTGGCCCCTGGAAGTTGTGTTTCTTAAGGGCCCAAATGCCCCTTTGTGATTAAGGGTCTTGGGAGCTACAGTTCGGCTTTTCTGGCTATCTCAAAACTAAAGCACCCAGAAAACCTGCCCAGTTGTCACACTAACAAAGACTCAGTATCTTCAAGAGATGCTGGCTTCCACATGATGTCATTTGTATCACAGTTTTGAAACCCCCACCAACTTACAGCCTTCTCAAGATCATGGAAAGAGAACACCTTAGAGGAGATAAATATTCATCAAAGTTTTTGAAACAATTCCTAACTGCCCTTTCAGTTTCTCCCTTTGAGATCTCCTGTTGCAATCTTCCTCGGGAGTATTGACACTTAGCCTTGCTAAATAAGCCTCTCCTTGGCCTGGCTGTTTCGCACCTGAACCTGAATTCTTTCCTTCAAGATGACAGGAAATGAAGAGGAAACTTCAACCAATAACAGTGCCGTACCAAATGAAGAACTACCTCAGGATAAGCTGCAGTCTACTCGGCGACAAACCGAAAAGTCTGACCTACCAGAATCCAAGCATCTTCTTGCAGTATTATTTTATCAAGGCCTGTAAACACATAGCACCCTCCACTTGGCCAGAGTCAATCAAAGCAACCTTTCCTCCTGGGCCTGAAGATAGCCTTGTTACCCTTCACATAGGTGCGAAGCACCAATCAGTTGGCTCTAGTAAGTAAATTAAGACTTATTTTCCATTCTAGTTTTTATAAATATCCTTTTGACATCAAAAATTCCCAGTTACTGACGGTGGTGCTTTGAAAGAAAATGGCCCTCAAAGGGAGTGGCACTAATGAGAGGTGTGACTTTGTTGAAGTAGGGGTGACCTTGTTGGAGGAAGGGTGTCCCTGTAGCTTTGAGGTCTCATATATGTTGAAGATACCTCCCAGTGAGACAGGCCTCTTCCTCTAGCACCATGTCTGCCTGCATGCCGCCATGTCCCACCTTTATAATGGACTGAACTGAACTGTAAGTGAGCCACCCCAATTAAATGTTTCCCCTTGTAAGAATTGCTGTGGTCGTGGTGTCTTTTCATAGCAATAGAAACTCTAAGACACCAATAGATAATAACGCAAGATAATACAGAACATATGTCTTAACCGTGGA